CGCTGGTCCGCGCTGTCAGGGAGACCCTTAAAATGGAGGACGTTGCCGGCACTTCCACGCTGTCGCACGTGCAGTTTGGGCCGCATGTGTGTCGGCGTTCTGTCACGGTGTTTCCTTACATCCCTTTGATGATTTTCATTTCTGAGGGGTGGGAACGGCCTACTAAGTCCTCTGCGGTTCCGAAACGGTTCTCGGTTCGCTATCCTTTTGAGGAGGATTTTGTGTCTAAGTGGTCTTCGCCACCGGTGGTGGACCCGCCGGTCTCTCATTTAAACGAGGCCACGATTATCCCGGTGGAGGATTCTCCGTTCTTTAAGGATCCTTCCGATAGGAAGGCTGAGGCGCTTTTGCGGTCCCTGTACTCTGTCTCCGGCGCTCTCATGCGTCCGGTCTTGGCTTCGGCTTTGGTCTCTCGACTCTAACTGAGTGGGCTAAAATGTTACATCAGGGTCTTGCGGAGGAGAACGTCTCCCCCGCCTTTGTGGAATGGTGGACCAGTTGGTGCTGGGCCTGCGTTATGTCTGTGATTCGGCTTGGATGCGGCGCCCTTGGTGTCCAGGGTGTCGATGTCAGCGGTGACGCTTCGCCGTTTGCTCTGGCTTCAGTGCTGGTCGGCAGACCAGGCTTCCAAGTAGGCTCTTCAGGAACTGCCCTTTACTGGGGACCGTCTGTTTGGTTCCACCTTGGATGAGATCATTAAGGATCTGACGGGGGTAAGAGTACCTTCCTCCCCCAGGCGCGCAAGAAGGAACAGCGCCGGAAGCCTGGGCCTACTTTTTTTCGCCCCGCCCTCCGACAAGGGCGGTAAGTTTAACAAACCCTCCTCTTCCCAATCCTCCCAGCGTCCGTGGCAGCCAAAGTCTGCCAGACGCGCCGGCAAGCCCCAGTCCGCATGAAGGTCGGGCCCCGACTCCGGGTCCCGGGGTGGGGGGCCGCCTTCGGCTCTTCGCGGATTTTTGGCTGTCCCACGTCTCCGACTCTGGGGTCCGGGGGCTGGTTTCTTCGGGCTACAAGATCGAGTTTCTGTCCCGTCCGGGCAACCGTTTCTTCCCATCCAACACGCGACTATCCCCTTCGCGGTTGGCGGATCCCCATCGCGCGGTGGCGGACCCTTGGTCCCAGGGGGTGATTGTGCCTGTTCTCTCCGCGGAAAGCTTCAAAGGGTTTTATTCAAACCTGTTTACTGTGCCCAAGAAAGAGGGGGTGCGGCCCATCCTGGACCTCAAACGCTTGAACGCCTTCGTGCGGGTCCGTCGGTTCCGGATGGAGTCCATCCGGTCCGTGGTGGCATAGCTCCGTCAGGGGGATCTGCTGGCCTCCATCGATATCCGGGATGCATACCTTCATGTACCCATTTGCGAGTCTCATCAGCGGTATCTTCGTTTCGCGGTGGGGGAGGACCACTTTCAGTTTGTGGCGCTGCCCTTCGGGCTGGCGTCGGCCCCACGTGTGTTCACCAAGGTGCTAGCCCCGATTCTGGCGCTGTTGCGTTGTCGGGGGGTTTCGATCGTGGGGTACCTGGACGATCTGCTCCTGCGGGCAGAGTCGCATTCTTCCATGGTGACAGCTCTGGGGGTCACGGTGCGGTCCTTGGAGGAGTTCGGGTGGCTTCTGAACCTGCGAAAGTCTTGCCTGGTGCCTTCACCACGCCTGGAGTTTCTGGGTTTGGTTCTGGACACTGTCGCGGCCCGGGTCTTTCTTCCCCGGGACAAGCTCCTGAAGCTCCGTTCCAAGGTCCGGCTACTGAGGGCTCACCAGTGGTCGCCCATTCGGTTTTGCATGCAGGTCCTGGGTCTCATGGTGGCCTCCTTCGAGGCGGTGCCTTTTGCGCAACACCATACCAGGACCCTGCAGGGGAACATCCTGGTACAGTGGGACAAGTCCCCCCTGTCCTTGGACAGGGAGATTCGGATCTCTCGGGAGGCAGGGGCCTCCCTGCGGTGGTGGCTTCCATCCCCCGTCTTGGTGCGGGGGAAGTCTTTTCTTCCAGTGCATTGGACGGTGGTCACCACGGACGCCAGCCTTTGGGGCTGGGGCGGGGTCCTGGGCTCCTTGACCGTGCAGGGTCGTTGGTCGCCGGAGGGGTCCCGTCTGTCGATTAATTGTGTTGGAACTTCGGGCGATTCGCCTATCTCTTCTTCATTGGTCGGCCCGGCTCCTGGGTCTGGCGGTCCGGGTCCAGTCGGACGACGCCACCGCGGTGGCGTACATCAACCACCAGGGCGGCACGAGAAGCGTGGCCCGGGTCGAGAGGTGTTCGGGATTCTGTCCTGGGCGGAACATCGAGTTCTGGCTCTCTCGGCGATCTACATCCCGGGAGTGGACAATTGGCAGGCCGATTACCTCAGTCGACAGTCGGTGGATCCGGGGGAGTGGTCTCTGCACCCGGAGGTTTTTCAGCAGCTCTGTCGTCGCTGGGGGACGCCGGAGGTGGATCTTCTGGCGTCTCGGTTCAACCGCAAGGTGGACAGGTTTGTGGCCCGGGCCCTGGATCCCTGGGCGGAGGCCGTGGATGCCCTGGTGGCCCCTTGGGGTCATTACGGTCTGATTTACGCCTTTCCTCCACTGTATCTGTTGCCTCGGCTGCTGCGTCGGATCGCGGTCGAGGGCGTCACCGTCGTCCTCGTGGCCCCGGATTGGCCTCGGAGGGCGTGGTACGCGGACGTGGTTCAGCTAGTGGTGGACGCCCCGTGGCGTCTGCCTCTGCGCCCCGATCTTCTGTCCCAGGGTCCTGTGTTCCATCCTTCTTTACAGTCGCTGGCTTTGACGGCGTGGCTGTTGAGAGCCAGGTCCTGAAGGACCGGGGGTTGTCCGATGCGGTCATTTCCACTATGCTCAGAGCGCGCAAAGCGGTTTCTAGACAAATTTACCATCGCACGTGGAGGGCCTATTTTGCCTGGTGTGGGGCTGGGGCCTTGTCCCCGCGTTTATTCTCCATCTGCAGAATCCTTGCGTTCCTGCAGCGCGGGGTGGCTCAGGGGCTGGCCTTGAGTACTGTGAAGGGCCAAATCTCTGCCTTGGCGGTGCTTTTCCGGCGGCCTTTGCCGTCTAATACTCTGGTTCGCACCTTTGTTCAGGGGGTGACGCGCATTGCTCCCCCTGTCCGCGCGCCTTTGGCTCCGTGGGATTTGAATCTCGTACTTTCAGTGTTGCAGGAATCCCCGTTTGAGCCTCTTCAGGAGATTCCGCTTATATCTTTGTCACAGAAAGTGGCCTTTTTGGTGGCCATCACTTCCGTTCGGCGGGTGTCGGAGTTGGCTGCCTTGTCCTGCAAGTCCCCATTGCTGGTTTTGCATCGGGACAAGGCGGTTCTCCGTCCTCGGCCGGCGTTCCTGCCGTAGGTTGTGTCGGCATTCCATCTGAATGAGGACATTGGCTTACCTTCCCTGTGTCCGAAGCCGGTTCATAGGAAGGAGCGTGCGCTCCACTGTTTGGATGTGGTTCGCGCTCTTCGTGTTTATTTGGAAGCTACGGCTTCTTTCCGCGGGACCGACTCCCTGTTCGTGCTCACGGAGGGTCCTCATAAGGGTTGGGCCGCGTCGGCGGCTACCATCTCTAGGTGGATACGTACTGTTGTGACTCAGGCATACGCCGTTAAGGGCGTGGGCCTCCATTTCCTGTCACTGCCCATTCTACTAGGGCTGTTGGGGCTTCCTGGGCTTTCCGCCACGGGGCCTCTGTTTCTCAGGTTTGTAAGGCCGCTACTTGGTCTTCTGTTCACACCTTTGTTAAGTTCTACAAGGTGGACGTGTTAGCATTGCCAGATGCTGGTTTGGGGCGCAAAGTGTTGCAGGCGGCGCTTTGAGGGGTCTTTTGGGTGTTTTATTGTTGCCCATCCCTCAGTGTGTTACTGCTTGGTGACGTCCCTACCATTCAGGATCTACGATCTGTTGCCTGTGTCCTTCAATGAACGGGAGAGAAAATAGGATTTTGTACTCACCGTAAAATCCTTTTCTCTCCGTTCATTGAAGGACACAGGCCCCGCCCTCTTTATGGGGTATACACTCCTAACTGCTTGTTACTAAACTGGAGACTTGTCAGCAGGTGGGGGGTTTGGCCACCGGCAGTGGCCGCCCCTAGGCTGTGATTGGTCTTTAGTTTTGTGCCTAGCGTCCTTCTCCTGCAGGTGGCGATATTACCCTACCATTCAGGATCTACGATCTGTTGCCTGTGTCCTTCAATGAACGGAGAGAGAAGGATTTTACGGTGAGTAAAAAATCCTATTTTTCAGCTGTGGCTTATCCTGATATATTGTTTCCTAAAATAAAAATGTCTGCATGTTGTCTTGATCAACAGGATCCACAGCATTAGACCTATTCAAATTCTATGTGGAGGGTCTGAAGGCTCGGTACCATGATGAGAAAAAGATCATCAAAGATATTTTAAGGGTAGGTTTGAGCTTCAGCCAGTGTTCTCCCACTGAACCACCACTACGGCCAACATTGTTAAAACAGCCCTGTCCCATGCACTCACTGTCAGTAGATCACCAGTACCAAATATATAATCCACACAACTGCTGCAACACATTGGTAGGACAATTAAAATTATGAACCCCTCAAAAACTTCCATGTGAAAGAACTCTGCTCTCCCCCACCCCTGCCTACTACCAGTAGAGCTTTTTCCTCCCCCATTATTAGTAGAATACAGGTGACTGACAAGTCTTCTTCCACTGATTTTAATTCACTGTAATTTAGCTTCCTTTACATACTCGGGCAAGTGTTGTATAGTGGTGTTCCAGACACTGTCATTACAAATACTATGTTACTTTGTTTTACTTTCAGGACAAAAGTTTTGTAGTTGAGCTTCGGACAAGTTTTGAAGATTTTGTTACGGTTATCAGCTCAACAAAAAGAGCCACTACATTAGATGCTGGGAATATCAAACTTGCTTTTAACAGTGTAAGTCCTTTTATCTTTTTGCAATCATTGATACCTTTTACATGCATTTAAAATACCCTCAGACCGAAATATTTTTTAGCTCCATCTCTGTTAGTGGTGCAAGTTCTGAGAACTTCCTTTGCTTGTGCCTGTGATGAATTTGGGACTACTAGTCCCATGCTTCTTAGCACTCTTAAATCTAGAGTGCAGGCATGACACAGGTGGTAAGTGATGCTATGTCCATAGCATGGCAACAGGTTCACTTCTATACCTCTTATGTTTAGTCTTATCCATACTACCTTAAAGCGGCACTGTTAGCTTGCTCATGCAGGACAAAGTGACAATGTCTCTACAAAGCCCCAACCCCCCTTATACTCACCTTGCCTGTTTCTCCTTTCTCAGTCTCGCTTACCCAATGCTTACAGGTATGGAGAAACTTGGGGCCTGCTCCCCTATAGTGTTCTGGCCTCACTAGACCCATATGCCAGCACATGACCAATAGTGATATCGGTGCTCCCCTAGGCAGTCTGCACAGCTGATTTCATCACTGGAGGTGACCAAGCGCAGCCTAGGTGAGTATTGGGACTCGGGGCACCTTTGTAGAGACACTGTCACTTTGCCCTGCATGAGCAAGGTGACAGTGTCTCTTTTAAGCTTCAGCAAGATTTAGGCAGTATTTGGGGGTGTTGGGAGTTGATTATCCTCAACAATTACTGCAGGGAAACGACCAGTCGGGTTGTATGAGGACACTGGTATACCCAGGAACTTGCTTTACGGAGGAAAATAATTACAAAATTGGCCATTATTTCTTTACAAAAAGGATATTCTTTTGAGTGGAGTGCCTCCTTCTCTCACCCCCCCAACCCAACCCCCACCCCCCCTCAAACACACACACACACACAAACACAAACATGGAATATAGTTTTGGCTAGACTTTGTATTATTGCTTTGTTTAATATCAACAAATGGCTACAAAGCAAATGCCTGCACTAAATGTTCACTTCTCGTTTGCCAGTTGAACAGTAGGACAAATTTGTTTAATTATTGTGCAAAGTGTAGCAGGTGGCAAATATTCTACAAGTGTGGCTTCTTTCCCTGACTCTAATCTTGCCTGTAGCGCAATGTCTCATTTACATATGCACATTAATCAAACCACTTACAACTGTCAGTCTGAAATTGATGACTGAACAAACTCCAGGCACTCTGTGTGCAAAACAATTTTGAAGAGCACAGCTGTGAAGAATGTAGAAAATTGGATTTCTTGGGACATTAGGAGGTGAAAAAAAATTATGTACTTCCCTGTCCATGAAAATGCTACTCAAGTGAAATGTTTTTTTCCACTTGGACTTTCTGCTAATTCATTGAACATGTCTGTCAACTCCACCTACTCCCCAAAAATTTGTAGGAACTGTTTTTGCTTGTGTTTAACTTTAATAATAGATTCTGGTCACTAAAAGACCCCTATGATGTGTCCCAGGCTTTAGCACCACTAGTGATGTTCCATAGACCTCTTGGTGCCTGTGAAGTTTTAATAAGGGTCACATTAACATTGTGTGAAATTTTACGGAATGTCCTAAAGCACATATGTCAAACTCAAGGCCCAGGGGCCGAATCCAGCCCACCATGACATTTCCTAGACTTCTACTTTCAGATCTAGGTATTAAGTTATTACTAAAACCAGTGATAATCGAATGCAGATTATGATAAAGATTAGATAATTTTATATAGTCTTACAGATACCTTTGAGGGCAACCATAATGTTGATGCGGCCCACGATTTAATTGAGTTTGACACCCCTGTCCTAAAGGGTCACAGAGCCCAGACTTTTTTGTTTTAATTTAAATTTCCAGGATTACGTTTTCATTTCTCGGCTTCTATTTTACAGGAATAAAATTAACCTCATACATCAGATCACAGCATTGTCAGCCACACTGCTATTAATTTCAGTGATATGAGGGATAGGCAGCAGTTAGGACTTCCTGCCCCCCCCTCACTCCGTAATTGGTCCCTTGTGTAATTATCATACATACAGTGTATATTGGTTAATGAGCAGCATTTCTTTTTTTTAGATATGCTGGTAAAGGTTTCTTTACAGTTTTTTCTTTTTTCTGTGAAGGCTTTAATTTATCTAGGTCATGGTCATATCCGCTTTATTACCGCATGTTTGTGTTAATTTAGTTTTTTCCTTTTGTTTTCTCTTTCTAGCTTTTAGAGAAAGCAGAGGCCCGGGAGCGAGAACGTGAGAAGGAAGAAGCTAGGAAAATGAAAAGGAAGGAATCTGCTTTCAAGAGTATGTTAAAACAAGCAGCCCCACCTATTGAAGCGGACTCTTTATGGGAAGAGGTAACAATATGTGTGTGTATGTAGAATAGTCTATGCTGTTGTCTAGTAAGTGCTGTTCTAAACATTTCTTTCTTTCTTGTCCTTTTGAAGGACACAGGAGCTCTGTAACCTTCTGGGTTATACGGCTGCCTACAGGAGGTTTTGGACATTGGCAAACAAACTGCAGGCCATCCCAGGATAAGCTCTCCTACTAACAGCATGCCTCAGTTTTTTTGCTCATGTTCTAGATAGATTTTTTTTTTTTTCTTTACCGCTTCTGTGCTAAAGACTAACTTTTTTTTTCTTCTTCAGTCCTCCCTACACTCTCAGACATCTTGAAGGTTTAAAACATCCTGTGTCTCTCAGTGGAGTAGAAAGAAAGCAAGAAGTTTGTACTCATTATACAATCCTTTTTGTGGCATCCATTGAGGGACACAGGTCCCCTCCCTTTGTGTTCTATGTTCTTGCTCTGTTTTGCTACAAAACTGTGGCATGCTGGTGGTAGGAGCGATTTGTATGTCCAATTCAAATGCAGGCAGCAGTATAACCTCAAAGGTAAAAGACTTCCCACGTCTCTTAATGGACTCCCAAGGAAAGGATTGTACTGTAAGTCGTCGTTAACCCCCCCCCCCCATGTTAACTGCTATTGCCTTTCTATTAAAGGAAAACTAATCATGACCCACCAGATTAAATGTATGGGGAATACCACGTGTACATTTGTTGTGTACACTGGTAGCTATGTCCTACCTAAAACACACTACCCTAGATCACTTGACACAAACCTAGATCTCCTCACATGTGTAGGTTCTAAACTAGCGATCAATGATTGGCTATCAGAGTGATCACATGATCGAGAGCCAGCCTGAGACCAGGAGCTGACGCGATTGAGCGCACTCCCAGAACTAAAAACATTTTGCATATATGTTAAACTGTTGTAAAGTGGTTAATCTAACCTTACTTATATTTTAAACTCAATGCTTTAAACTCTGAATGGAGGAGAAAGCAGTTGAATGACACTCTCTTCCTCCATTCACAGAACTCAATGCATTGTTGGTTCTTAGTAATAGGATATCTGTGAATGGAGGAGGGAGTTGAGGTGGGTGGGCCAGCAGCACAACTTTTCACTGTAGCTGCTGACAGACTCATCTTACTGGATGGCAGTGAGATGATGATTTTTCCAAGAACCAGCAGCTGACACTACGGGGATACAGACAATTACACATATCTAATAAAAATATTTTACTAAACTTCAGCACTGAGGCTTGTGTACACACGATGGTGGTTTCCTGCATTTGCAACAGAGTCAGATAAAGCTTACAACAAAGTCAGAGGCAATGTAGGATTCTCAGTCTACATATTTGCTGTGCATCAATATTGAAGCCAAACCATTAGAGTGACAGCCAGACCATGAACGTTTTCCACAGAAGGTCTGCAATAGTGGCTTTCACCCGACTCACGAAAACACGATTTGGCCGTCCACACGGTCACTGATTCTGGCAAGGGCTTTTCTTTTGGGGGATTTGTTTGAGCACAAAGGAAGAGATCATTATTCACAGCACGGGAGTGCTTGTTTTGAACACATTGCTTCAATTATATTGGACTTTCTTTTTACACTGCAATACTTGTAACATTGGTTGCAACATTTCATTGAAACATTTTATTACAACATTTATTGTAACACTTCTACACCAAAGTTTGAATTATTTATTATTTCACTGATGCACTATACATACAGGCAAAATTAATTATTGGATTTGATGTATTTATTTTATATATATTTTATTGTTTAAACAAGTTTTGCAGCACATTGTTTTTTTTTTCACTTAGATCTTTTTTTAGCGCTGCACCATTGATTGTAGATTCCTTAATGCTTAGAATACTTTGCTCTACTGTTGTGGCACCACTGTGGTGACCTATCATCCCAGTGGGGACATTACATTACAGTAGTGACATGATGCTGTTGCTTCCTCTCATGGCACAGCTGTGAGAGGTTGCTGCTTGTTTGAATAGAAAGCCCCACAGATCCTGCCTCTCATAACCTGAGCACCTTGTGTCTTCCTCTTTACTGATTATGTTAGTAAGCTGAACCTAATATACCTTGCTTGTCTTCTCTTAAGGTTCGGGAGAGGTTTAATAAGGAGCCGGCATTTGAAGATATCACACTGGAAGCAGAACGGAAAAGGATATTCAGAGATTTTGTTCATACCATAGAGGTAACTTATTTATAACTGCTGCAGGGTCTGCCAATACCTAATGAGTATACCTTCCACTTACAAATGATTGTATATAGCAGGCAGTATTTTTCCATATAGCTTCAGCCTCTAGAGAATAAAATGTTCTTTCTGCAGTCAAGCTGTTTCTGCAGCAGTGAGCTCGCCTGCTCTGTGCTGCAAAATCTTGTGACGCTCAGAGGGTTTATATCAATTAAAGAGTTACGGTATTGAATTGGAACGCCAAGTGTGAGCCAAGTCCTCTCGTCCCACATCGGTACCTGACCTCACAAATGCTTTTTTGGCTGAATGGGTACAAACTCCCACAGACTTCCCACTCCAAAATCTTGTGGAAAGGCTTCCTAGAAGAGTGGAGGCTGTTATAGCCATTTCAGTGTTATAGCCCACTGTTTTAAAACGGGTTGTCCCAATAAGTTCCTAGGTGTGATCAGGTATCTACAAACTTTTGGCCTTATAATATATACTGTATGAAATTTGTATAATGACACTTTACAGTTTAAATTTTTTTTTTTAAAGTGGAGACGGTTTGTGTAAATTTTATTTTGTCTTGCGCAGCTGTACAGGTTCCTCTCTCCTGTGCTGAAATTTCTTATCCTGATTTCACTGGACACTGTGAGCTTCTCAAAGTTTGCATGTGAAGCTGTAGCAAGTCAGAGCCCACCTCCTGTCCTGGCTGGGGGATGTTCAGTATCCTCTAGCCCTGTCCTTACTAGCCTAACACAATCCACTGAATGATTTGGTGGAGGGTCACTGATCCTCTCCACCTTTTTGTTTTCTTTCTCTTGCTTGTTAGATAAAATATATCAAACACAAGTTTTACACATTTAAAAACAAAATGACTAACAAACCTTGTGTTCCCTTTTTTAAACGCACATTCTGCGGGTTTACTGCTCCTTTTAAACATGATTTGTTTTCCTGTATCACTTGTTTTATATTGATTACTTTTAATACTGTATTACTTTTATTAATTGAAGTATCTTTTGTTTTTTTCTGAAAGCATGAATGTCTGCATCATCATTCGAAAAACAAGAAACACTCAAAGAAATCAAAGAAGCATCATCGAAAGAGGTCTCGCTCGCGTACAGTGAGTATTGGCCTGCAACTGTTGTCCTTTTATATCGACACTTGTTACACTGCCACGTAGTGGAACGGCTCAGTCAGTGCAGTTGGCATTCTGGAGAGGTCGGCTAGAAACAATAAACATAAGCGGAGGATGTTTCATGGCATGAAATAATGAAAGCACAAGCAGAAGGTTCAGCTGCTCACTCAGGATGTAGTTGCTGCCAGTGCTGCACATCCTTCTTTTTTTTTTTCTTAGCAAAGGGCACAATATTTTTTTTTTCGTGCTGTAAAGTCCTTATTTGCTTTTGCTAATGATTTGGTTCTCTTCAGGGCTCTGAATCCGAGGATGAAGAGGAGAACCACACAAAAAAGAAAAGGCAAAGATCGGACTCCCGGTCAGGCTCCGAACATTCCTCCAGTGGAGAATCAGGTAATATTTGATATCTGCCATATTAATATGTGAAGGTATGAGGCTGTTTTTGTCTGTTTTTTTTTTTTTCAATCCAACCACTATGGATTCAGAAACAAGCTCTTTAAAATTCTGGTAGAAGGGATGATGATTTTACTGCCCCTTCCATGTCTTTAGAGATCTCTAGGGCTGGGGTGACGGACTATGAGAAGCCAATAGCTTGGAGATTCTGTTACTGAGGCTTGGGTACCTATACTGGACACTCTGTCCTCAGTTCAGCTCAGTAAAGTGAAGCTTGATAAAATCACAGGCTCCACATTACTGAGTTTCTTGCCCGGGCATACAGCAGACAAGCGCAGAGGCCGATGAGTTGTGCCCCATCAAGCCCACCTTCCCTTAGATTGACAGCAAAAGGCACAGATTCTAAAGCCACTAGCGTCACATTCATGACCGCTTTCCAGCACAAACATGCTCTGCTCTTTACTACAGAGTGGGCCCCACTATGTAGTAAGGTGCAGGGCATGTTTGGTTCCCCTCTGTACCCCAGCTTCAGGTTTGTTTTATTTACCTCCAGTTTCAATATCTACAAACGGGCAGAAATGATTTTTGTATCTGTTGCAGCCATAGCAATTCATTGTGAAAGTGGCACAAATAAAAAGCTCCTGAATATGTCTCGCGTCAGATATCTTAAAGCTGTCTCAAATATTTTAAGACTTAGGCGCATTGCTTTTTAAAGGGACCATACAACCAGAAAAGTATCGCTCATGCTTTATTGAATTGTATTTCCTCCATTATATTTTCATGTTCATAAGCCGTAACATGTAAATTTAATTCATCCACTCTTCTGTTTGACAGAAAAAAGTTATAAAAAGTCAAAAAAGCACAAAAAGAAGAATAAGAAGAGGAGACATAAATCTGTAAGTAGGATTCTTATTTTCAAGAAATGTTTATTGTGCGAGATGTAACATACTTACATTGTTTTATAATTGTATAAACTTTTATTATCAATGGTCCTAAATTGAGTTCTTTTGCTTCATAGAAATTACACTTTTCCATGTGTTATGTGTATCTTCAGGATTTTCACAGCAGGTAGCTGGTAGCAGCCTTCACTGCCAACTTGCTACAGCCTGCTGCTGAGATGCATGTTAACCTTTTTTTTTTTGTTTTATTCTATATTCTCCTGTTTTACTTTTCTCCTCGCCCCAAGTCAATCCTCCAAATCTAATTCCATACTTTGATAAGGCCGATGCTGTTCTGCCCTGCAAACACCCCCCCCAACCCCCCACCTCCCCTAAAACATTGGCAACATAAATTAACTGCATCAGGCTGTTTCTACAGAATAAACTTTTCAAATCTCCCCTGCCCATCGCCAGAAGTGCTTTTATTGAACCTTCTAGCATGAGCAGCCTGCCCTGTGTGCAAACACATCGAATGCCATGTAAATCTGTGGGACTGAATTACAGTCAGGGCCACCACTCTGCCTTTCCTGCTCAGGTTTTTCTCGCTGTCCATGGTAACAAGTCCAACATGATTCCAGATAAACAGAGCGCTTTCAGTGGAAAACCACTGCCTGTCCCCGCACCTCACTTTGCCTATCCCCACAACTCACGCACAGTTCAGCATTTGACAGGGATGTGCCAATTTAAACCCTGCAACAATCCTGTGAAGATGGGCACATTTAGGGCTTATCTAGGGATCTTTAATGAGCACTTTTGATTTGCAAAAATACTGTTTATCTGACAGACATTTCCAAACGTATTGATCTGTAGATGGAAATCATTACCTTTTTATATAGAGCAAAGGGAGTGAACACTTGTACTTTGATTAGGGACTGTCGCACAGATAATCCCAGCGGCTCCGGACTGTCGCACAGATAATCCCAGCGGCTCCGGACTGTCGCACAGATAATCCTCGTAGATGTGACAATGTGATGATTTACATCTAATGATGTTTCACAGCTTGTCACTCTCGCAGCACAACTGGTTAGTTGATTTCAGGCCTAACGGTCATATACATGTAGAAGACTTCTTGGCGTAGGAGCTGTGTGTAGCACTCCTCCACCCCAGAATGTTACAGCAATTTTTGCATGAGCACTGAAAGACCAGAACTCCCTCAGCTAGTTCTCTTAAAGCGGGACGGGAACAGACTTTCCCCAGGTATCTGGCATATAAGATTTGTCTGTTTTTCAGGTATGAAAACCTTCCAAGTTTTACTTTTACTATATTATATCCAGAGATCTTAAGAGTTATGTTCTCAGAAGCCTATACAAGGGTTTTTGTGTAGACCAGAGTTCCTCTTTAACCACTTTGTGCTTTCCTTGTTGACTTGAACAGAATTCTCCGGATTCTGAAGTAGAGAAGGAGAGAGATAGAAAAGACAGAGACAAGGACGACAAGGAACGATCGAGGCAGAAGGAATCAAAACAGAAATCTCCAAAAAGGAAAGCGACAAAGGAAAAGGATTCTGTAAGTGGAGTGTTTTACTTTACATTTGGTAATAAAAAAAATTCCTGAATCCTGCGTAAATGGAAATGACTTGTGGAAATTCGTTTTTCAGTTTCCACTCGTGTGGAATTCATGGCATTCAGCTCTGTAGAATGACAGACGCACAACCCCACCATCAGAGTCTCCCACTATCTTATTCAAAGTAAAACTTTTGCAAAAAAGCAGATTTTATATGATCTCTGTTTTCTGATGTCACAGTTTTGCAGTGGTGTCCCACATACTGTACTTTTCATGGTTCTCCTTAGACCACACACACAGCCCCTATGTGGGTGGGTGGTAGTGATGTAATACAGCTGTGACTTTGGGTATCCTCCAGAGTATCGGGAGTCATAGAAGGTCTAGACAGACATCTGCTTACCATTTATCAAACAAGCTTTTTAAAAAAAACGGACTTAAGGGTAGATGCCAATTTTTCCATTACAGTCCTGTAAGTCTTCATTTTATATAAGGCTTATTTTCATTCCATTCTCAAAGTCTAGCCAATGGTCTTCCTCCTTCTATTTAGTGTTCTAAAAGGTCCCCATTTATCAAAAAAGATTCCTCGTACAGCTGGCAGTCTGTCATGTACCGTTCTTCAGGGAGGTGCGGTGGATTACAGCTGCAGTTCTAACCAGTAGGGTTTGAAAATGCGGTGTCAGGCTAAAATCCCAGGCGGCACTCTCAATCACAAACGGAGAGTTTGGGATTTAGAAATCATTTACCGCAGAAAAAATAACAAGAGGCTAAGGTACACTGTGTATGAGGAATATTACTCCATATTCCTAATACCACAGGAGTGGTATGCAATTGAGGGAGCGGTTGTTAACTAAACAGTCTTTATATATAGAGAGAACAAACTCGGCAATAGCAATCCAGTTATGCATTGATAGTAATAAAGCATAGGTAAAATATGGAGAAGATATGCAAAGGATCCACCAGGTGGCAGTGTAATGACTCCAAACAGAGTAAATCAGTAAAGCTAATGCAAGTACTTGCGGTTGAGGAGATTGAAACCCCTTGGTTCTGCTGATCCTTAGGACTCCTGGGAATGCTTCCAAAGGTTGGTGGTGAGAGGTCCGGGTAATAGGCTGGTTGCTGGTGATGCTGAGTAGCTCCTGGGGTGTTGGGCCATGAACCCAATAGTGGAACGCCGTCCATGGGTTCAGAGGCCTCTTTTATACTGGTGGAACGCGGAAGAGGAGCCTCGCAGCGTGACGTCACTTCCGCGTTCCACCCTGGAACGCATAGCAGTACGCGCCCAAGGGGAGGAGGCGCCCTGTTATGTCCGCGGCCGATGCGTTCCACTCTGGAACACAGCCGGCTCGTAGAAACGATCCTGGGACCATTACACAGTCTAGATGTTTCATTCACATTGGAGCTCAGCTTTAATTTACACTAGGGATGCACCGATATATCGGCCGCCAAAACATATCGGCCGAAAATAATGCCGAAAATGCAATTTTCTGTCCGATACAGCGGTGCATCCTATTCTCTCGTCCCCGCTGGGACATAGAGCAGAGCCCAGCAGGCTGTCTCCGGCCACACACCGCTCTCCGGAACTGTCACAGGCTGCGGGAGTAGAGCGCCGTGGGCGGCCCTCCTGTCGCAGATCCGGAGAGCGATGTGTGGGTGGAGACAGCCCGCTGAGCTCTGCTCGCTCAGCCTCCTGTGACAGTGAGTCAGGAAGGAGAGCGCTACAAGCATTCAGTGATCACTGAGTTTGTACATAATTGAGGACAGAGTATGTTAACTATATCCTCAATTATGAATTAATGGGAAGTGATCTACATCACTTCCTGTTCATTCATGATTGTGGTTATAGTAAACATACTCTGTTCTCATGTTATGAATGAGCAGGATCACTCAGTATAGAGGCTTCCTGTTCATTTACAGGGGATGCAGAAAAAGATCTCTTCAATCACTTTTTTTTCCTATTTTAAAAGGGAAATATCAGGAGTCTGTTTAGACCCCTTATTTTCCCCGAAGCCCCTAAAAGTTACGTAAAAAATATTTAATAAAAAAATATAGAAAATTTGAAAGTTTATAAAAAATAAAATATTTGAAAAAGTTAAAACATTTTCGGTTTTGAAATGTTTAATTTTGGTGCACCTTTATTTGAAACTACAAATGACTAATTACACAGGTAAAATATACTTTGGGGAGCTGCTTCACGCCTGTCCACATTCACACAGCCAGGCGGATGTCACCACTTTCAATGTTAGTCATAGACTGTAGAAGAAATACAGCGGCGTCCTCTCTCCACCCCATTCCTCCAGCTGGCTGATTTGACAGTATAGTAGCAGCAGGAGAATGGTGAGGCCGTCTCTTTGCTTACTCTGTCCTCTCTTCCTATGAGCATGTTCCATACAGATCGTCTCTTTCCTTGTTTGAATGCTGCAGTATAGGGAATTGTAAATCACATTCATTTGCTTCCACTAGTTACATTTAAAGAAATGCATTTTAGTCATTTACAAATGAATACATGACCACATTCTTTGTCTTTTATATCTGCCTAGAGTTCAGCTTTATGATATCGCTTTAACTTGCGTCCTTTACTCATAATCCAAACTTGAAATGCATTCCATGACCATTGCAGGCTAACTGGGACACATCCGGAAGTGAATTAAGTGAAGGGGAGTTGGAGAAGAGAAGACGGACCCTCCTGGAGCAGCTGGATGATGATCAATAATATCTGCTAACCAAATACGTTTACAATAAAATGTGACATCTTTTTAGTTGCTAGCAGGAAATTCTACTTTTTCCATTCACTGAAATGTTCACACTCTGTAAAATAATAGTACTCCCACTCAAAGGATTCTCTCCATTGGAGGAGATGCGGGCCTCTTTGCAGAGTGTTGTAAATTTTAACATTATTTTCAAAGAGTTGCCTTAAAACCTTTGAACAGAATGTGCCACACGAATTCCTGCGTACCTTGTGTAGACCATACACCATGATCTCTGCTGGGCTGTGAGAGGGCAGCAAAGGGGGACTGAAATGTATGTCTGATTTAAACAAAATCCTATTTTTTTATATTGTTTTATTTACAGCCTCTGTCCACTTCAGTCCAGTAAAAAAAAAAAAAAAATCTTTTTTTTTCTCCCCATCCATCATTCGTGGCACATGCGCTCCTGACTGGGATATTTTTGTACATTTTTATGAAGTATTAAAACCTTGTCTTCTAGTTTGTGGTTGTATTTGTGTGAGCTCTTATGATGATACCTCATCTGCATTCTGTGTAGCCTCTGATATCAAAGCACCTGAAATAAGAACCGTCTGTGTTCTAAAGCATTCCTACGGCAAGTGCTGCCCTAAAGTGTTCCTGACACTAGACCCTTCATTTCAACAAAAATCTTCCAATAGGATTTTATGTAAACTTTATGTATTTTATGCATTTTATTTACCTGTCAAAGCCTCCCTTGTGTGGACATCCAAAAGCCCTGAGATTGCGGCTGGACCCCACCATCTTGGATGCGATGTCAGCAGCCTCAGAGCTGACACTCTATAGCAGGGGTAGGTGAACTTGACACTCCAAATGTAGTGAAGTCTAAATCCTATCATGACTGTGGGAGTCATGCCTGTGGCGGTCAGAATCTTGCAAGGCCTTATGGGACTTGTTCTACAACAACTGGAGGTGCTCATTAAGGATGCACTCTATGGGGATGCATCTTCAAGTTAACCTTGGCTCTCAAGAGAATGCTGCAGATAGGGTGCTCATTTCACTACACGAGATCTGTTCCCTGCAGCATGCACAACATGCTCATTGCTGAGGACAGAATAGGACTTTGCACATCATGTGACCAGGCCAGAGAAACCAAGAAAAAAAAAGTGTATAAATAAATGTTTGTATTGTCCATTTTTGTATAGGAGGATTGGACACTGGCAAACAGAAAATGTGTGGGCCAGCCCAGTATAACCCCCTCCTACATCCAGTTTGCTAGTGTCCTAGATGGATAGATAGTATTGTAGATCACCTGCGCTCCATACAGCATTATAACCTTCCACAGTCATGGTGGTCGCAGTGATCACACCGATGGAGCCGTGGAACTCGGTGTTGCGTATAAGATCATCAGCGCTTACAAAGTTCAAGGTGTGAATTTTTCATTCCTCTTTATTGAACATGCGTCATCAAACCCATAGGCAGCATTCCAGGGCCACACAGCATCCCTTCATCAGGGCCACAGAGTGACCAACTATGTCTTCCTGGTGAAGGGTCCCTGTGTAGCCCCGAAATGCTGACTTTGATGACGCATGTTCTATAAAGAAGAATTAAAAATTCACACCTTAAACTTTGTCAGTGCTGCTGGTGATCGTTTATTCAACACTTGGTGGATAGATGTCTTTGTTGATCTACTGGAAAAAGTCTAAAACCTTTTGATAGCGATAGTTTTTTCTTCAATCGAGTTTCCTGTTACATCGCCGCTGAGTTGGTCTCTATGGGCAGCTATGTAGATCAGCCTTTCCTCAGCTTGTCTTGGCACAACCTCATCTTTTATATTTTACTAAAATTTGAGTATTGCGTTCCCTAAAATTAATCTTATTGGATTTTTTTCATGAAAATAATGATTTGATAAAAACTGCCACTGTTTTATTCAACAGGGTCTCTGCTTCCAGAAAATGTATAATGTTTTATTTATGTTCTTCAGGCCTAAAATGTGTTTTTTTAACCTTCCTGGCTCAGGGTTAATTTTCAGTACAAAAAGCGGTGATCCTGAGCCACACTCGGGATTACACTGTAGCGTCACTTACCTTGTCCCTAAAAGCCCCGCTGTGTCCTCCGGCCGATGCCGGCATCCGGGTTCCGTCCCTTGCTAGCGCCCATGTCGCAGGGGGGCGGAACCAGTGGGAAATTCAAAAGTAAAAAATACTGAGATAATCAGACCGCCAGGGAGGTTAATGAGCGCCTGCTCTAGCAGCAAAGTAGTAAAGGCCGTGACACCTGCAGGCGAAGCAGCGAGGAGCGGTGGCGCGCTGCCTTTGCAAGCAGTGTCATGTCATTTTCTTCTGGGCACCTCAGCTGGTGAGAGCTCGCGTAGCTGAGCGTGCCGAGATGAAAAATTTCAACTTCAGCCAATCGGCTCGTGCGTATAAACCGGCGCGACGGGATGCGACATCTGGCTGGTTGTTAAGCACGAGCCGATCAATCATCTGACTGCACTCAGCTCACACACTGCACGCAAAGCTAGCTTTGCACGGCTTCGCGTGCGGTGTGTCACTGCCTTAAAGTGGCTGTCGCTAAAAATCAAACTGCCAATACTAGTGCCCTCTGCAAATGTGCTAGTAAATGCTTCCCCGTCCTGCGTCGCTGAACACCCCTCTAATGAAGAGAAATTGCTGCATGAAGACTTTAGTATCATGTTGTGATGTGGGGTTCGGTGGGAGGACACCAGGAAATTGACACTTCAGGAAGCGTTGATTTCCAAGTCTTCAGTCCACAATTTCTCCAATATATTTGCGGTTGAGGGATTTACTGTCTTTTCAGGTGGAGGATGTAGTATCAGCTTCAGTAACTCCAGCAGAAATTTGAACACCCATAGCAAGCTTCCAGTGGAAGTTCAAACCTGGTGCACTAGTCCCAGGGTTGTGGAGCTGAAGAAGTCCCCTAATGTCAGAAAACGGAAAGCTTTCATCTTCATTTTGCAGAAAGATTGTTTCCCGACAAGTTTCGGGAAAATCCTAGACAGTGCTTTGGTCTACTTTGATGATGTGAACAGTAAATGAATGGAGAGCTCAAACAGTGCATGGTAGAGGACATTCCAGCATTACAAGGATACAGAATCCGGCACAAGACTGCACAGGGGATCTTCTAACATATAGGAGCTGTCATATGAGATGACGTATAATGAATGTGTTCAGTTTGCTTTCATGGGGAATTGGAAATGTCACCTCTTGCGTCATACATCTGTACAACCTGCCACCAGCAACAAATTCTTGTTTACGTAGTTACATTTTTGGGTATGATCTTTGCCAAGGAGACTGGTCGGCATTGTCGGGAGACTTTCCGAAGTACTGAAACAGGTTTGTATGCACGGCCTATTAACTATCCAACAAGGATGGTAACTTGGCTTTACCGGTGACAATCTTGCTCCAGGTCACCAATTAGAGTCACCAGCTCCAGATGAATGCTGCAAAATTATCTAAAGAGCCGCCATTCTATCTACCATCACACGTTTCTTTCAGGAGAGGCAAAAACGAAAACATCCCTTTTTCCCGACCGTTGGTGGACTCGATTGTGGCTTCCTGACTCTTGGTCATTTTTAGTCTTGTCCATGATTCTCGCCACTGGCTGAGAGAAAAAAAAAAAAAACTTGGTCCTACGTCATGTGCTGCTGTTGGCTGGACTATCAGTATGTACTCTGGCTTGCCTCACCTATTCAAACCATCGCCTATTGATTGACACAAGGGTGTTGATTTACTGAAAGCAAGCAGGCTGTTCACTTCGCAGAGGAATTTTCCGCTTAACCTTTTCTCACCATAGATAATCTATAGGTGTACGGCCATACACCTATAGATTATCTGGAGAGTTTCTATGGTCAGATGGAAAAAGTGCAACAGATTCCTCCATCTACCCGAAACTGTGTGGATGGGGGAATCTCCCACTGGGCCAATATACAGTATCTTGCTAGTCGGCCTCGCTGGCTGTCAAAACACCTGAACAATGCCTGGATCCAATCAGATTGTTCAGGTATTTTGAGAGCCAGCGGGGCCGACCAAGATACTGAAGCTTGGCCCAGGGGGAGATTCCCCCATCCACACAGTTTAGCGTAGATGGAGGAATCAGTTGTACTTTTTCCATCTGACCATAGAAAGTCTGCTGATCTATAGGTGTATGGTGAGCTTTAGACTTTAACGGCTCAATAAATTCCATGTACAACATGAGACTATAAAAGCGTAGTAGTGTAAATAGTTTATTTAATCATATGCAATGGACAGAGCAGAAACGCAACATGGACTGGTTCTAATATTGCTAAAAAGCTGGAGTCAAATTAAAGAAAACATGCCAACGTTCCAGGCAAGTGAATTACCTTAGCTTTCCAAGCTCATATTTATTATAAAGAAGCATTGTATTAGACTCACATGGAGTTAAAGTGTACTTCTCATGGATTCATAGTCAGCTCAGGTAGCCATTTTGTCAAGCCTTCAGCCGGTTAATTCACCGTGAGTCGTCGGTGTCACTTTGGTGAAGGGAGAGGCTGAATGTGGCGTCAGACATGCAGGGGGATTTACAAAGAGTCATGCTGGGGTTTTTGTTTTGTTCCCTGCCAGTCCTGCTCTTTCATTTTTGCAACTGGAAATGTAACTTTTTCATGTGCATAACTTACAGTAACAACTCCAGCTGCTACATTTTTGGCATATTGTTCTAAGAAAAAGGATTCCTTGATGAGAAAAAGGATGTTTCTTAACGTGAAACTAATGTTAAATATCAAATTCTAAAAAATAAAAAAAAACATGTCGGTGTTCTCAAATACTTGGTGAGATTTCTCCTATATTTTAGATCCTAGCCCAAGTTGTTATAGGGCACTATGTTAAAAAATGTTCCTCTGATGCTACATTAATGTGCCATCAAACAGATAGCAAATACAGGGTTACAGGTCAGAAAATCCACATGAACGCCTTACAAATACAAAACTGGAGTTCTGTGTGTGAGAAATAGAAAAAAATAATGCCACCTCAATTTGAACACGGCCATTACTATGGAGTTGCCCCCCACCCTTTGATTTTATAACAGCCTTCATGCCTTTGGAAGGCTTTCCACAAGATGTGTGTGTGGCTGGGGGAATTTGTGCCCATTGAACCAAAAGAATATTTGTAAGGTCCGGTACTTATGTTAAGAAGATCTGGCTTTCAATTGGTGTTCCAGGTGTCCTTGAGGTCAGGGTTCCATGCAATCCACTGGTACTCTTCTACACTAAACCCATCAGACAATGTATTTATGGCTCTGGCTTTGTGGTACCTGAACTCAATCATATGGAAGGCTGTCCACATTCTTTTGGAAATATAGGGCAATTTATGTCTACAAGTGAATGAGCATAAGAACTTCACAGCCACCAATCAGATTCTAACTTTCAGGGCCAGTCAAATGCTGATTAGTGGACAGAAGTAGCTCCCGTTCTTAGTATGGAGATTCTGATACATAATGCTGTATTCTCATGTGGTTGGATAAATGATAGCTCCCAATTGTTATGTTGGAATCTCCCATCTATAAGAGTGTCCACGTCCACAAGTGGAAAGAATCAATCACAGTCCTTTATGGAGGAGGTACTTCCATTGAAGCTCATTGTATAGAAAAAAACTCTGATGATTTGGGCCATTTCAGAGAACCTGAACATCTGCGTTGTAATTGCCACCTTTTGGAGCCATTCACGTGATGTAAGCACAAGTCGAAATTTGTATTTACTGTATATCCAACCGCATGGGAATGCAGCATTCAACCCATGGTCTGTCAACAAGGTGCATTGAGGGGTTTTCCCATCATGACACACTGTACAGAGATAAGATGATGAGAAGGGCACAACCAGGAAGCGGAGCATATGTAATGCAAATATGGCTGCCTCTGTGTAAGTATATAATTAGGATTTGAACATCCAAACAAGGTCTTAAATATGAACACTCAATGATACGAAGAAAGGCCGCCCCGCATACTTGAATAGTGGGGTTCTTCTCCCCGTTGGCTCCTGTACCTTTTTGAAGTTGGCATGGCTCCGCACACACATCTGTGTCATTCATTCACAGATTCTTTGACAGGATCTGTGAATTGAGAAACTGCAAGTCCCGTCAGCCACTGCAGCAGAGGGACTTGTATCACCCAATGGAATTCAAGTGCGTTGATGTCAACGTACTTGTAGTCCATTTACACTTGCAGACTGTTCCTCTCGTCGACGTCCATACCAAGATTCAGACATGCACTAATATGGTCGGGGGGAACCGCATTCACATTAGTGCATGTCTGTACGTTGGTCTAGACATGGATGTGAGGAACAGTCTGCAGGGCCAGAGCATTGCACCTGAGATCTACTGATCACCATAGCAATACTTTACTGTCTCCTATGCAAAAAAAAAAATGAATGCACATGTGCACAGTGCATTTATTTTTATTTTTAGCAAAAAGTGACATTTCCCTTTTAATTACATTAAACTGACCTCAATCTCATGTATACAAAAAACATTAAACTACTAAAGTTCCCCTTTACAACTCTTACTATGGAGGGCAGGTCTTGGAGAGTAGATTATGTTGTCCTGGGGCATATTTATCATCACTAACGGTTTGGATTTTGTACATTATGCACACAGATATATTTAGTGACTCTTTGTAACTCCCCCCATCACGTCTACCCGTCATATCTCCCAGCAAGAAAGCACTTTAAATCCTGTTACCATTATTAGCTCTTCAAGTGTATCACTTCTACAAACGTCAGTTCATTACAGTAATACCTTGGTTTACAAGTAACTTGGTTTGAGAGCGTTTTGCAAGACAAGCAAACATTTCTGAAAAATTTTGCCTTGATATACAAGCAAATGTCTTGCAATAAGAGCAAAATTTTGTAGAAAAGCGCCACCCGAATAAGGCTGTAGCTGTGTGAGCGATGAGTCTGTTTAACGACAACACAATGTCACATTGGATAGATTCCTTGTTAAGGTTTCACGAAATGAAAAAGATTCCATTGAGTCAAGAGATAGCAGTGATTCCGTTAGTGATAGTGAAAGTCGTCCTACACAATAATCCTTCTCTCTCTCGTCCCCCTCACACCAACCACAAAGGTATGGGTAATTGGTTTATTTGTCTTTATATTTTGTACAGTATTATATTACAGTACAGTATTGTAATCATTTGTATATGAATATTTTTGGGTTGTGGAACGAATCATCTGAATTTCCATTATTTCCTATGGGGAAGTTCGCTTTGATATACAAGCGCTTTGGATTACAAGCATGCTTCCGGAACGAATTATGCTCGTAAACCAAGGTATTACTGTATCATCAAATAAGCCTCTGACATTGGCATGTTCTCCTCGGTACATCAAGTACACACGCTTGTGCAAATGTAACAAGTACTGCCAGTTGTACACAAGAAACAAACTGTAAAGTTAAGCAAATGTCAATGTTGTAACTTTGATCCCCAAATGTATTTTTTAGTTAAATATAATAAAAAAACAAAAAACCTATAAGTTAAAATAACATTCAGATTGTATAGCACAGCTGATGCGATTTTCATTTCTGTTTTATTTTAAACAATATTTACAATATTACCCAGCGGCTAAAGTGGGAATTAAGGAAGTATAAAACAAACAAAAAAACTTAAAAAACGCACCAACTTTGTAGCAAAATATCTGTACATTTAGAAACAGAGTATCATAAAACTACATTTTAATAGAGGAGACCAAAAACCGGAAATGTTGAGAGATCAGAACACAAAGTTAAAAAGCAACTTCACCCAAAATGATTTTCTGCTTTTTAGGTACAGTGGGGAAGATGTAAATCCTTATCATTGTTCAGGATCCAGGTCTCCCCTTACCCCAGGGGTGGCAAACTCCGGCCCTCCAGCTGTTGTGGAACTACAAGTCCCTTGAGGCTTTGCAAGATTCTCACAGCCACGGGCACGACTCGCAGAGGCAGATGCATCATGGGATTTGTAGTTTCACCACAGCTGGAGGGCCTGAGTTTGCCACCCCTGCCTTACCCCATCACAGCCGGAAGAAGCAGAGGTCGGCTTTTCAGCCTGGCTATTGTTGTGGTAAGCCAAATGGCTCATGTACAGTACATGGAGCATCAAACTCAGAAGCAGGTCAAACGCTGTATGCTGTCAGGTGCTTCTATGTTGCTTTGACTTGTGTTTCAGTTGCTTCACTTTTATGTGGCCAAAACAAAAGTTGTATGGGGAGAGAAAAGCAGCAAACAAATGGCCTCTCTGTATACTCCGAGTCAGGAACCGCTGGAGGCAGCATATTCTTTGCTCCTTCCTTGGATCCCTTTCACACAGGCACATCCGTTCTGCTGATTGAAGCAGTATGGAATGGATGTCACATTTGTGACGAAAAGAAGTGAACTAACTGGACCCATGTTAGGTCTATGTACAGTCGAATGTAAGCGGATTACCACCAAAGCCAATTACATCCTTTTTTAAGGTCTGCAACTCTAATTTTTAGACTCGGAGATAATCAGATGTAACTGTAAAAATTAAATCAAGACAACTGGACTTGCTGGTATTTTCTTGAAGACATTTCACTGGTCACCCAGCTAGCTTCCTCAAGTCATTCTGAATTGAGAAAGCTAGTCTTGATGACCTGCGGGAAAAAAATACTGCAAGCCCAGTAGCCTTGATTTCTTTTTTACAGATATACCATGACCTGGATGAATGAGAACCTTCACAGATGTAATCGGATGTAAACAGATGCAGGTCCGTTCACATCCGACAGCTCATAGACTCACATTAAGCTTCCAATCAGGTCCGTCTGAAAAACTGGAAGATTGGGTTGATTGAAGAGCAGCCAAAAAAAAAACCTGAACTTGTCACAGCTGTGCTAAGGAAGGATTTGCCAAATAGGGTCATGGACAGAGATAAGAACCAAGGGGGTACCTTGCCCCACTATGCCAAGAGAAGAGAATCTTTTTGACCCAGTTGCTTTTTAAAGTGTATTGCTGCCTTCCAAAGAATGTAATACTGTAAGGCAGGACAGTAAAATCACCAACTCCTAAAACTATATTTATGTCTTGTTCCTGTCGTAAAAGCGTTCCAACTACAATATGTATTTTTAGATACTGTACGCAATTTTCATACAGACGCATCATTCTGCGTGTCTACAGTTCCCACAAATCAACAAACAAAATGTGAATATTAGGCACAGAGGAGATCTCAAGGATCCTGTACCAACATACAAGAACTAGCCAGTTAATAATACTATTCTTAAAGTGGATGATTTTCCTGCCCTGCCTCACAATCTCAATCCTGCCAGAGAGCAGAGTTGTGCTTTAAGCAGAAGGAATGGGGAGAGTCGATGTAGTTTTGCTGAAGTGCAAGCCGTTATTGTGTTTTGTTCTGGTAGTTTATCCCCCAAAACAAAGTCAGTGTGAAATGTTCCCTTGCTCTCCCCTAAAGGCTGTTAAATACTATACAATTTTATTCTTTTTACAATAAACATATCAGGATGCTATCAGGGAAGGTCAACAGAAAAGGAAGTGTGTGAGGAAGAAGAAGCGTTCATGACTGAAAATGAATTTAGTGTCTTGTTCATGGGATGAAAGTATATAACAGATCTGTAATTGACTGACTTGCTTATTTAAAGGCCTTATCTTATTTGTCTGCAGAGAAGGAGTAGAAAACAAACTGCAAGTTCGGCTCTTCTGGCAATGAGAGGAAAACGAATACTCTCAACGGAGACTTTGCATGATAAAAATATATTTTTTTTAAACTTTACCTACTCAACTTAATTCTGTAAATGCAATTTGTAACATTTCCTGTTTAGTTCTGGCGTGAAGAGCCTTAACCCCTGAACTTCTTGCTGCCGATTTCATCTACTGATTAGGGAGAACTGAAAGTGCCACCATCTCTTTGCAGTGGTCATGTGATATGTGATGCCAGCAGTCTCCCACCTACTCAGTTCTGGGTGCACATAGACTGCTGTGTGTTTTACAAGGCATCAGATGCAGTGAGGGTAAGCCCCGTCCATAGATAATCATAAATGGCCGATCCAGAATATAATTTACACACGGACACTGGCATTAGCAAATATTAGCCTAAAAAGGTGCGCCACGCACAGATTTCTTTAAAAGAGACCTATAGCTTGTTCTTAGCTTTACCAAAATAACACTGATGCTGTACAAAGGGCACATAATCTCACTCATTGTCGACGTCCAACTTCCTGAGGAGCAAAATCCAAACCTTTGGGAATGGGACATACATGCACACTCCTCCAAGCATCCCATAATACAGCACTTAGTGCCTAATCAACTATCAATCCCACTACTATTGGGAGAGATGGGGGTGCCTAGATTTATTCAAATACCATACCAAATACCCCTCACAAAATGTAGCTTTTGGGAGGGGGCATTACCAGGTTCAGGTACCAAAAACTGATGGTTCAAGCAGGTGCTTCCTGTACAATGTCATTGCTACTTTGGCTGCTGACAACATAGTATGAGTTTATTTTAATGTGATCGGTCAGCAAGGTCCTCTTTAACAGTTCCTCTTCACTGCCATTAGAAGCAAAACCTAACACTCAGTCTGTGTTGGTACAATGCCCATTCTTTGCTTGGCTGGGCATGCTGATAGTAGCCTGACTACAGAAGGGTCCTGGTTGTCTGGGTCTGGCCCCTTTCATGTTGAATGAAGGCTACCATGCACTGGCAGCGCATATTTGCAGTGGAGCTTACTTAAGTAGAAATGAGGCATCTCTCTATAGTGTTTCCTGTTACCTGATGCCTTGTATGGATGGCCTGAGCTGCATTCAACATATATGTCTGAGTGCACTGGAACTTGTAAGAGCGTCGGGCATCAAGGTGCATCTCTACAGACACAAGTTCATGAGCTCCAGTGAGCAAAAAAAAATAAAAGAAAAAATCGTGTACTGTTGACCCACAGCAACCCGTTGGGCTAAATATGAAACCTCATTGGCTGCAATGGGCAACTTCTGCACCATGGGTTAATAGATCCGTTTTTGACCAGTTTTTATAGATTTGTTTCGACATGAACAAAGTGAACCTGTTATTAAGACTTGTCAGCATTTGATGACCCCGTGCTTCCTAAAGCCTCTGACCAACACTGATCAATCTAGAATGAATTCTAAATGATATAATCAATGTTTATCATGTTATACATTGCTTACCAATAGTTCACCCTGGACCAGGCCTGTGAGTTTGGGTCTGAGAGTTCATATCAGTATACTAGAAAGATGATCCACTGGACTGGAATCAGAATTGTTATTCTGAACACCAATCACACTTACTTTTTCAAATGTGCTACTAGATTAAATGAGAGTTGTTTTATATATTATCACATCTAAGGAAGATGTGGCTAATGGGCTGTAATATTTGATGTCCTCGCTACCCAGTGAGTGATGACCGTGGCTTTGTCATTGGCACCCTGTAGTAAGCCTTTGGGCCATGTGCCAGTTCCTCTCTGTCTTTTTAAACTCAGCACAAGCACTCATGTCTTCAGCAGCCATTGCCTAAAGGTCATTACAGGTGGTATACAAGAAAGACTGAGCATGCGCTAAGTGTAGAATGACAGACTGGAACTGTTGTGCAGCTTGTAGGCATATTTATGGTGATCAACAGCGTAATAGGGCTGTGACCACCTAACAAAACAATTGCTAGGCAAAGAGGATGTTTACAAAAGGAAGGTGGATTATAGCAATATGATAGACAGAAAGGGATGCAACCTCATGCTCTGGTCAAGGGTTCATCATCAGCAAGCTGAGAGTAAAGTATGGTAATTTTTCAAATAAATCTGGCATAAAAAATTGATGTCAAGTTAAAATGTTATTGTTAGACATTCATGAAGCCTGAGGCATAGCACCAGGCCAGACCCAAACTAGGCCTTGTGATTGGATAACTGTCTATGCTGCCCATAGCAACAAACCATTCGCATTCATGTCTCTATGGCAAATAACATAAAAGAGAGAAGCTAAACATTTCCTATGGGCAACACAGACAGTCTTTCTTTAAAAAGCTTTCCAACACAAGTCCACAAGGGTATGTTACAATCCGAAACCACCTTTATGGCAATCGATATGCAAGTCTTCGAGGGATATAAGAAGTGGGTGGGTGATTGCACCCATTGAGGCTCCCCAAAACTAAAATCTCAGTTAGGCGAGGGGTTAGCCTTTTAGAAGAAACTTAATGAGCCTTATGGCCAAAATGGAATGAGGCAGTGAATGAATGTTATTTACAAACTGGAAGAAAACCATTGCCCTGCCTTTGTTGGGTAGGTGAGGTTTGATGCTTCAATAAGGTAACAGGGCAAAAAGGACAATCCCTGCTGTTCACCGTTTAGGAATTTTGAGAAAGCTTTTCCTACAAATGTTATATAAACCTTTTTCTTTTAGCATTTAAATTCTACGGTAAAAATTCAGTTAGTGTGCCATTCATTAGTGCTAGCTAATTACAAAATTCAGGACGAATATGTATGAAAACTGAAGTTGATGCTTATGATCTGTTCCAGGTTTTTCTTTTTTCCACAGGTGCAGTTTTTTTTTAAATCAGGTCCTTCACACACACCAAAAGCCCTTGAAAATTAAAGAAGAACTCCACTGTGCACACTTTGCCTCTAAAATCATCACATTACATAACACCCCGTATAGATTCTGAAAACCTACAATGCTTTCTGTGAAAAAGCACATTTCCAGGCCTCTGTGCACATGCAGACGAATCTTTATCTTTGTTCTCTAGTATAGACCGTCCTCCACCTCAGTCAAAACTAAGTAGGTCAGGCCAAGAAAAGATATTAGCTCCCTTGATGCACTGGGAATTTTCCCTCGTCTGCTCAGGCATGAGCTGTGCTGTCAAACAGAATGATGTAGCAGAGGGAATCCAGGCGTGGAGTTTGTGAAGGCATCAGGTCATTAAGTCTCTTAATAGTAGGAACAGAAGATATAAAAGTGTTAATTGGTTATATTTAGTGATTTTGAAAGCTCTATTTTGTAAAAAGGAACTCCAGGAAACTGGATGTAAAATCGGTTTGTGAACTGCTAATGCAATTCAAGCATCACCATACCATTGGCAAATGTGCACTTTGTTTATCTTTTTAGCACACTTTACATTTACATTCTGAGTTTTACACAACTGTAACTAGATAAGGCAGACTTCTTGCTGTAGCTCTGGCCCAGGCTCCTGTCACATGACTCTGTGCTGTGCAACCTCCCTCTGGGAACTGCAAAGGGTGCTTGGAACCAGGAACGCCTAGCCTGCATTTTCATACTTGAATCCGGAAATAAGAACGGCAGCCATACAGCTGTAGCAAGGAGGCCATCTACAAAGTAGGTAGGTCAAGTCACCTGAAGGAGTATCAATGCAAAAAGTCACGTTTGCCTGGAGTGTACCTTTAAAATAACCAGCGTTCTACTTAGGCTGGAGTTCTTCTTTAATGACCATTAAGTGCAACGTAAGCACAAGACTGACAGCACGCTAATGCTTCTTCGGGACCCCCTTCGGCCGGTCCGTACTTCAGTTTCACTTATTTACAAATCATCGAGAAACCCACAGCAGCTACTGGCGGTCGCTCTTTTTGACATGTATGTAACAAAAGTAAAATCATATATTTTACATTTTGGTTAAAAATACTGAGTAACGTATTGGTGTGAATGCTACCTGACCAAACCCCATCTATTGCTTGGATCTGTCTGACCAGGTATTTTGGATTTAGGCACTTGTTAGCTACAGTCGGATACACATCTGTTCAGAGTGGACAGCTCAGCGTGTTTCAGTCACTATGCACATTTTTTTTTTTTTGTCCAGTTTAAGCCCTTGTCAGTTCAAAGGTTTAAAAAAACGGCATTGTTTACAAAGCTGCAGTCACGGCGAGGGCGGCGCCTTGTGTATTGTGCAAGGGATACGTCACACACACACGCGCGCGCGTGTGGCGAATTCTCCGTCTCATACGGATATTTCAGCACCATTGACAGAGCGCAGGTTCTGGTCGTCAAATCGCTTCCTTACGCTTCTTCTCACCGCGTCGGCTCTCCTATAGGGCTGGCTTCTAAGATCTGGAACAGGACAGAAGAGTTAGGTCAAGTCTGACAACCTAGATCTAAAAAAGTAAAAAAAAGAGAAAATCTGGCAGCCAATCAAAGCAGCTTGTAAAGGGAGAAGATGCTTATCGGATATGTAGCATTGATCAGATGACTTTTTCTGTAAACACTGGGATGTTAAAAGTGTCACAAAGTAACAACTTACTATTTTATTGAAATGATTTCTTCTTAATGATTGTTGTTGAATTATATAGTTAATATGGGATTTAAAAACAATGATAGTAGTAGGAAATTAAACTCTTTACCGGACAACTACATTTTAATTTTTTTTAAAGGAAAGCTGTGCTGACATTAATATCGGGGCACAGTAAATGTAGGAATCTAGGGTCAGGGGGACATTTAAATAGACTAGCCGATGTGTTTTGGGGGGCCAGCTAACTTCCTGACCCTCGTGCTAATACATTGATTTCTATACTTTCTGAATCATTGACCTGATACAAGCATCCCGCAAGTTAAAGGAGAACTATGAGGTGAGTGAAAATCACTCATCCTCATAGTTCAAGCTGACGTGTGACAATGAAACTGTCAGACGTTGGCTCAAGAGATCGGGAAGGGAGCGAACGCATACCGTCGCTCGCTCACTTCTCGATCATCTCCCTGTAGAGAGCCGTGGCTGTGAGTCACCGCTCTCAGCAGGGATTCCCCCCTCCCCACTCCGATCCTCCAGCACTGAATGGAGGTACAGACGGGGGAGGGCAGGGTACAGCTGGTTCTGGCTCTAGATAGGCAGAGCCAGCTGTCACTCACGCATCTGGGTGGATCTCGACAGTAATGTTGGGATCCATCCCGGCTGCAGCGGTCTCAGTATATAACGGGCAATAGCCCACGATATACTGAGCTTTGGGTCACGGTAAGATGCTAGTATATGTCCTGCCGTGACCCTTAAGAGAACTATGGGGAAAAACACTTACCTCATAGTTCTCTTTTAAGTCAGAACTTCTGATTTTTATTCTTATTCTAGAAAATGTCTGAAGCTATTACATCAGGACATCAGGCAACTAGCATTTTTGGGAGGAGAAATCAGCAATTAGAAAATAACGTCACCAGCACTCCAGAAGATAATCAAGCAATAGTCCATTTATTGGCACATTGCCATTCAAATGCAAGCGCTTTCATGAGAAATCAGCAATGACTTCCCTCATATTTCTTTTATCTCTGTTTTTTCTAGACTCCCAGAAGAGCAAGTTCCGTTTCTGTCCCTGATTCACCATCATGAACACTGTACTGTACTAAGCTATGTTTTTCTTAACCAGTCATGTCAACTAAAGTGTACAAACTGAGACTACTAGTAAAGTGTAGGCCCTTCTGGTGACATGAGTGCATGTGCTTCTCTTCAGATAAATGACTCCTCACCTGGAGAAGACCCTATAACCTACAAACAGGTTGTATAAGGAACCAGGGCTTCTACCTAAGTTACATTTTACCCGATAAAACCCAGCACCCAATTTCTGCAAGGTAGCCACACTATTCTGTTTGTACCTTTGTAAAGTGTAGGGGGGAGTGCTGTGCGTTGTCTTCAGTAGAAAACAATAAAATAGGTGACCTGAATAAGCTCTCATCTTGCAACAACTAGAGGTAAAAATGATAGCCATTCCAAAATCATAACGTGGCTATAAAGAACCCAGTGGCTTTAAACACCACTTGCTAATGACCAGACCCCTATTGATTTCCCCCTAGGGGAGCTCCTCTGGCCCTCACAGATTTGCCATGTGTATGCAGAGGCAGATATCTTCCTGCCCTGCATTTTTGGGATGATAACTGTCAGTCTATAGGAAGGCTAACAATGCAGAAAATAACTGGCCGTAAAACCATCACAAGTATTAGTTTTTATTTAGCCAGCAAACATTAGTGGATGAAATCTAATTTCTGATTGGTTACTATGGTTTAGTGCAATGGTGGCATCCAAATGTGTTCTAGGGCAGAAGGAACAACTGTCTGTGCTGCCCACAAAAACTAGTAAGCTCTGTTCTTACAATCAGCAACATACACTAGAGTAATAAAAGATGGATCCAAATAGTCACTATGGGTAACAGACACAGTTCTCCTGTCAGGAGGTCATGCTTTTCCTACCGTTGGCCTAGTGAAGCACAGTGAAGTATTTTATGAGTGCACTTTAAAGTCTATCAGAAAATACTGCTCTAACTTACTTTGGCAATGGTGAAAGTAAACTTATAAAATGAAAGATATGTTTTCCTGTCACTGGTTAGCACACGGTAGTGATCAGGTATTATGGTAGAAACCCCAGGTTCAGCAGGTTGCATCAGCAGACAACGCTATTCCTGTGGATTTGATGGCTTATGTATAAAAGTGAGGTAGTGAGAGAATTTCTTTTTGTCCATAGCAACCAATCAAAATCCTTTTTTGATTTTCAAACCATGGACTGTATATATTAGAGTTGAAAGCTGATTGTTATGGGCAGCAAGCAATTTTCTTGTGGCTAGAACAAATCTTAGTGATACCTTCATGTTAAGGTGGCCACAGGTAGACAGAACTTGGTATTCAGATCTCATAAAAATCCATGAGTTATAAGTAACTGTCGGTTTCAGCACATACCCAAAACTGAAACATCAGATATGAAAAACATTATAGTATGAACAAGCCATAAATTATATAAAAGATTAAGGCCTACTTCACACTTGTCCATGTGTGATTTTTTTGTACCTTGATGTCTGTTGTGTCAAGCAGTGGCGTAACAATCACCATAGCGACCCAGGCGGCCGCTATGGGGCCCGAGGCACGGCGAAGGCAAACCATTCAGTTTCAATGGCTGCTTTAATGAGCCTTAACACACTTACCTGCACTATTTCTGGCCAACACAGCAATGAAATTACATCTCTTCATTGTGGTGCACTGAAGGGCAAGTATACTGTAAATATGCCTTGGATCACTACTGTAAATAGGTGGCAAAGCACATTTAGCATGTGTAGTGTGTCCTGTTAACGTGTCAGTGCGTGTGGTAATGCAGATGGACAAGAGTAAAGGGGGTCCTTAAAGCGTACTCATTTTGCACATGTTATAGTCATGGACATTCACTGGACAGTCGTTAGCCATCACAGATATAGAAGCTGGTAGCTTTGGCCACACTGAATGGCATGTACAGTAGCTAATGCAGAAATGCAGTTAAGCGAGCAGTATTACTGCTGTTCTTAGAACCTAAATATCAGTTTTGGATAGTGTGACCCTTTAAAAGCCTAAAGGTAAGCCTGTGGACTTCTAAAGTGCACTCATAACCTACACAGAGTGGAAGCAGCCATTTTGTAGAGAGAAAACTCATTTATCTAGAAACTGATTATATCACTGAAAAGCTTCATGAAAAACAATTAATTACAAAATTGTGGAAATAGTTCAAGTCTATTCTTCCATCTGAAGAAACAGGTAACTTATTTACGAATAACAAGCAAGTCTAAAAGATGGCCACCTCCACTGTGCATAATTGATAGAAATAGTCATAACTGGTCTGGCATACAGAGAGAGGAGGAAACCAAGAAAAAAATAATGCTTGCCAGCTCTGTGTATCCTCCACCACCGGTGTGCTAGATGAATTCCTTACCCTCGAATGAACATTTGGAAATTTAGTGATATTATTCTTCTTTAAGGCTAAACAGAAGAAAACATAACATGATGGTTAAATAAAAACATGGGTGAGAGGTGAAGATAGTCTGAGCTTAGAATTCAGTTCCTCAGGTGGGTTAGCCACTGAAGCAAGAAGGAAGGAGGCATGGCTAGGGCCAGGTTAAGCAGAGCAAGGCAAAGAACAGGACGGATGCCCTGTTAGCACAAAAAGCTTTGAATTATTGTTTTCAGAACTGTGAAAGGTATAAAGGCAAGCTGCTTTGAAAATTGGCTTCAGATAGATCATTAACACAGTAACAATGCCTGTTGAAGAATTTTACTTAGGAAGCAGAAAACAAAAAGCCTTCCCAAGAAACCCGAGAAAACAGTACAAACTCACAAAAACACCTAGAACCCTGTAATATTTTGTTTCTACATGTGCTGTTGTGAGTTTGAACTTAATTCTTAAAGGGTAAGTCCACCCTGATATTTTAGTTTATGGTGTACGCTAAAAAGTTAGACCACCTGGTGGTATCTTATATCTCTATGGAACTCTATTGGTGAGATCTGTGTTTGAGTTCTCAAGCATACATATCCACCATGGCCATTATGGGATGTTCCCACGTTTCTGTCTGTTTTTAAAAATGTTTTATATATAATTGCAAAAGGAGATGGTGGTATGCACAAAGGTGGGTAAGAAACCCAAACTCCGCCGGGGGAAAGGAAGAGAGTTGGGAGCTATTACATTAAGATTTTATTGCTGGAGAGTCCAGGGCATATAAGATGCCACCAGGCGTCACCTACAAACTTTTGGTGGACTGACCCTTTAAAAAGTCACTGAGAAGTGTTGTCTATAGTAAGTAAGATCGGCACATGCTACAGTATACATTTTTTTTACATTTCGAGACAATGTAAAAGTTTAAGTATAAAACCATAAAAACAACTAATTTGTATAATAGTTATATAACCAATGAAGGCATTCAAAAATTCATAATAATTCCAGGCAGCACCATCCAACATGTCTGTTGTGACTGGCGATGTATATAAATGGTATTGTCTCGAAACGGAAAAATAAACAGAAATATAAATGCTCGGAGGAGAAAGAACTTCATGCTTAGAATGCAGTCATTTCTCATGCAAATATGACATGCAGTCACGTGTTAGGAAATACAGAAAGAATCTAAAGGTAAGAAACAAAAAAGTTACATCCATGTATGACCAGAAAACAGAGTAAACATTGCTGGTAAAACACAAAGAGGCAAAAGGAAATGACACAAAATATAGTTTGAGTCTGATCAGTTTAAACAGTGTATATTCTTTTTTTCCTATGGAAGCTGAGAAGCCATTTTCTTCCTTTTGAGAACGAAAACAATTCTATAGCAAATGAATTAAATAGCAACCAG